ATGTTTAGGGTTACTTTTATCTCCCTTTCAAATTCGGGAGTGGGGTCCGTTGGAAGTTCTTTGTAGAATTTTCTGTCTGATAGTTGTCGTTCCTCTTCCTTTAAGTAGTCCAACGTGTTTAGAATTACTATGCAGCCCCCTTTATCAGCCGGTTTGATGGTAATTCCAGTGTTTTTTCGTAGTTCATCGAGTGCCCTTCGTTCTGACTTTGATATGTTGTTTTGAAATAGCCGATTTTTCTTTGATATGTTGTTTTGAAATGGCCAATTTTTTTCATACGCTCTGATGATATCCTTTTGAACTGCTGATATATACATATCGAGGTGTTTGTCCCTCTGCTCACCTAGACACCATGATTTGTCACCACCAATCAATCTATTCTCGTCCGTACAGTCCTTGCGATCATGAAAGTATTCACGGCAGCGGAAATTACGCGCAAAGTTATCGAGGTCTTGGTACAGTTCAAATTCATTGAATCTACCGGGTGATGGACAAAAGGTTAAGCCTCTCGACAAAAGTTGAAGCTGAGCGGGTGTGAGTGTTGTGTTTGACAGATTGAGGACATTTTTCTCATACGTTTTCGGCTGCTCTTGGCTATCACGTGGCACGGGAGTGTCAGCGTCATACTCGAGAGTAAGGATGTTTTGATTAGGATTGCACTGTAGTTTCGAGTTCCCATTTTTCTCCTCAAAGTTAGGTTGTGGCACGGGTGGTCCCTGGCGTTTTTGTACGGCCTCATTCCTATTTTCCTGTTGCAGAGCAGTGGAGCTTCTGCAGTCCCGCTTGAATTTGCTATCTTTTACTACTGAAATTTTGCCTCTCTTTTTTAGTTCATATCTTTCCAGTTCTCTTGCCTCATGCTGTCCGAGATTAGATACCGATTTCTGCGTGGCTTCCGTGACAGTGTATTCGGCGGGCTTACGCTCACTATGGTCCACAATGACCCGAGTCAGTTGCAAGAACGCTTCTAGTAATATTTTTCCCACTTCCCCCTTTCTGCTTCACTTAGTGTAGACATTGAGGGGTTGCAGGCTAGGCGGAGGCCTTTAGGTGCAATTTCGTGAGAGAGATATTTGGTTAGTAGTTCCGCGTGTTTTTCGTATTGCATCCGCTTTTCAATGACTTTTCTAATTGATAGAAATGAGTGGGACCATGCGTGTTTAAGACTGCTCGTACCTTTTGTTTCCCCGTGTCCCGTGTCGTTTGGAAGCCGCCGCCTTGGTCTTTGCCGCATTCGTCCGCCGGGTGTTGTAAGGCCTCGCTGATGGGAGTGGCGACGTCGTCACTGCCGGGACCCTGGATGGCTCTTTGTGTCCCTCGGCTCCCTGTTGTTGAGTGGGTTTTGTTGAGTTGGTCTTTCAAGGTGAGAGGGACGCGGCAGCAACGAAGTTTGGAAGTTCATGTCAGTATAACTCATCCCCTGATTAAGGAAGGACCCCTCCCGAAACTGTTGGGAAATAAATATATTTATGCTTGTTGACAACGCTCCCGTTGTGCCATATCCCATACCTTCACGAAGACTAACTGGCCCATTGAATTATTACTCCCACTGACCTGAACCATGGCTGCCAGTACATCATCAACGGAGCGTTTGTCGCGGAGATATCATTACAGTGAAAATTCTGGTGACATTTCACTATGTTGTGACATTTCCTCGTAATATTGTGATTTTTATGTAAGAACATAGTTGAGTGATTACGGTTGTGGTAGCAAAGTTCGCCTTATTTGTCGGTTTCCACAGCCTGTGGCCAAGAGAGAAAACTATCGGAATCGGGGAGAGGGAATCTCAGCCTTTCTATTTTTCTCAGTGGGGGAAGGGGCACGCGCCTCCTTGCCCCTCCGGCTGATACGTCTGTGGTTCTGATTCCTCTGAAGTGCACCCTCACACTGACGTCATTACCCCTTAAGAAGGACGTGAGAAACTTTGTGACACGTTTTTCTGGTTGTCACTTCATGACATGTCACGGTTGCGTCCTGAGGTGACATGGTTGTATGATAATGATTTAACTCGTGTGCTTACCAATTGTGTTTTGCTGTTGCAATATACACCAAAGGGTTTCTTTAAATAACTGTGAACGACCACAATAAAAAAAGTTCAAAGCCCCTTTACGTATCGAACGAATGGTGGACAATGGAAAGGGGAGAAATCTTGGATGAAAAACGAACTACAAGAGTTGTACAATAAGACGCGTGATGCATCATTCTTCGTCTCTAGTCTATGCTAGTGACGTGAGAATTATGTTTTTTCTAATTTTATTCCAAAAATATGAGATTTCTGAGAATTTATAGAGTTTTGTTTTGGGACATATGGCGTCAATTAATTTTTCGCTGAGTCACGAACACCCCAAAACTCCGAATAACTCTTCACCTGCTAAGAGACTGGCAATGCGACCCCACTACCTTATTCCGTAAATAGGCTCATAATCATCATCAACCTGACTACGTCCACTGCACTTTCCCACTTTCTGCCAGCCAACTCGGTCCTGTGCTTGCTGCTGCCACTTTATACCAACGAACTTTTGAATCTCATCTGCCCACATAATAGTCTGTCTCCCCCTAACCCGCTTGCCTTTTTCAGTTAACCTTAATGACCAGCAGTTCTCCTACTTACGCGCTACATGCCTGGCCCATGTCGTTTCCTGTCCTTGATTTCAACTACGATATCCTTAACCCCAGTTTTTTCCCTGATCACCTCTGCTCTACTTTTGACTTTCAAGGTTACACTTATTATTTCTATTTCTATCGCTGTTTGTTTCGTCCTCAATTTAAGCGAAACCCTTTTTGTAAGCCTGCAGGTTTCTGCTCCAAAGGTAAGTACCGGCCCGATGCAGCTGCTATATACCTTCCTCTTGAGCGATAGTGTCCATATAGCAGTCATATCTTCATGGCGCGTTTCAAATGTGCTACACCCCATTTTTATTCTTCTAGTTACTTCAATCTCAAGGTTTGGCTCCGCAGTTATTACGTGTCCTAAGTAGACCTAATCTTCTAGAGCTTCTAGTGCACAATTAGCTATATTGAAGTGCTGGTCTCTTTCGAGATTGTTGTACATTACTTTCATTTTCTACAGATTCATTTTAAGACCTAACTTTCTGCTCTCGTTGTTTGACTCCGTAATTATAAGTCGCAAATCGTCCCTGAGTTACCCAGCAATTCAAAGTCCTCGGCAAAGCGTAGATAATTAGGGTACTCTCCATTAACCATTACTTCTAACTCTTCCTTTTCGAGGCCTCTGAAAGCATCCTGTAAGCACGCGGTAAATAGCATTACCGGGATTCTATCACCCTTTCTTACACCTTTCTTGATTAGTATTCTGTCACTTTCTTTATGGAGCGCTATGGCACCAGTTGATCTTCTGTAGATTTCTTCCAGGATATTCACATTTGCTTCGTCGACGCCCTGATTCCGTAGTGTCTGCATGACTGCTGATATTTTTACTGAATCAAATGCTTTGTCTTAATCTATGAAGGTTATGTATGGCGGTTGGCTGTATTCTGAGAATTTCTTCATTACCCGATTGATAGTATAAACGCGGTCGATTGTTGAGTAGCCTGGTCAAAACTTTGCTTGTTCCTTTGGTTTATTTATTTTATTATTGTATTATAACTGTTGGCAAATATTATTCTAAATAGGTTGTATAAGAAAGATAGCAAGCTGATGGGCCTGTAATTTTTGAAATCCTTGTCACTTCCTGTTTAATGTATCAAGGTGATATTAGCATTCTTCCAAGATTCTGGTACCTTTCTCGTCAGGAGGCACTTCGTAAACTGGGTGGATATTTTTCAAACACAATCTGTCCATCTTTCAGCAGATCTGATGTTACGTGATCCTCACCGGCAGCTTTGCCTCTTCACATTCCCTCCAAGGCTTTTTTCACTTCGTCTATTTTTACTGGTGGGATGTCATCTGAGTTACTGTTATCTCTTATGTTAAGGCAATTGTTGTAACAGCTACTGTACCAATCTCTGTAAAACTCCTCCGCTATTTTACCTATCTTTTCATGTTGGTAGCTACATTGCCTTTCTTGTCCCTTAGTGCAAACATCTGGTTTTCGCCCATTAGAAGTTTCCTCTTCACCGCTTTAACGCTTCCTACGTTCTTTAGAGTGTGTAAGTTTTTTTGATGTTATACCAACGGTACGCTAATTGCTCAATCGTTGACAATACTGGCAGGTGGTTGGGCGAAGAAGATTGTTGCAGCCATTCATTCCCGTTAGAACGTCCACGACCACGTGAAGGCAGCTCGACGGCATTCATATGTAGTAAAGAAGTCAGTGACTTTATTTCAACTGTTACTTGCCAGAAAAAAAAATCTCAAGGAAAGAATATTCGTCAGGCTGTCTGTTCAGTACATAATGTTTCCTAAAGTTGCTAGTACTGAGCGTAGCAGAAGTCAGGGTGGGTGGTGATGCTATTTTATATGATTTGTTGACGCAGCAACCTCATGGCCACGATCTTTATGTGTTTAAGAGGGGTACCCAAAAACATGAAAGAAGGAATGCACAAAGTGCGTTTACTCTGTAAGTACTAATCAAGCATTGCATTATCATTGTATGATGCCCAAAGTAATAATAAGAAACAGAAAACATAAAATGTGCGTGGCCACTTATTTTAGTGTGTGCCTGAAGTCATTTGTGCCTGTTATGTCTGCTATTAGCTCCGTAAGATAGATGTGAGTGGTGGAGACTGCTGGTAAATAAACATCTTAGTCTGCACCTAATGTAGTGATTTCGTTTTGGCTGTCCTATTTTAGCTATTAGCAGTGAGTTCACTAATGCCACTGTTTATACGTGCTATGTAAACAGGCCTGCAACACCTACAATATCAAATTTTTTTATTCAGGGCCACGTGTGGCCTTTTTTACTCAAAATTTGCAGTGTATGTAACGGTTGAAAATTTTCTACATATGACACGTTTGGCGACACCATGCAGTGTCAAAAATCACATGGTACACAAAGATGGACACCATAAACAATAAACTAAATATAATACGGTATTTTGTTTATTTACGCCTTTTCATGAAACAGAGCTCATCATCAGTCTGATGTCGGGAAGGTCATGGCAGTTTCGGTAATACGTTCGACGTACTCTTCTGCGTCGAGTGACGTTCTGGAATGGTTTCCAACATTCACTACTATTAAAATGTTCTTTTTGAATGTAAGAACTTTTTATTCGAAGGTCATAGGCCGGTGTCAGCTGATCTGAAAGAAGTATAGCAAGAGAGTTGGATGAGCGAATTGGGGCTAAGTTTTGCGGGCTATTAACATTGCTTTTCTATCGTACACTTTGTATAGGTGAAACAGTACGTTAGAAGGGACCATCTATCTTCCCAGCGATTGATTTTTCCAGTCGGTTGGTTAGGCCACCGCAAGTAGCACAACAAGCCGATCACATTGTCCACTGTTGTAAAAAGCCAGCTGTAGGATGCTGGTGGTGTCACCTATTTTCACATGTTTTCACTGTTCAGGAACAAAGATTGTGGTATAGGCTTCATGATGGCTATGAGAAACGGTATTTTTCAAAACTGGGCAAATATACTTTGAAGGGGTATCGTGATACCATACAAGACACTCAGGCAAAAAATATTATATACACAGATATAAGATACTACCGCAAAAGTGTATCCGATACAAGACTTTTCAATTGTATCTTAAGATACCTCAATACATTTGTAACTTGTTCTTATACACCGCCATTAGGAACCCCCATGGTGGCCTAGTGACTAAGGTACTCGGATGCTGACTCACCGGTTGTTTGATTCAATTCTGGTCGCTGCGGCTGCGTTTTCGATGAAGGCGAAAATTCGTGAGGCCCATGTGCTTAGATTCAGATGCATGTTAAAGAACCCCAAGTGGCCAAAATTTCTGGAGTCCTTCGCTACAGCGTGTCTCGTAATATTGCGATGAATATGAAATGTTGAAACATCATAATTATTCCTATCATAATGTAGTAGCGAACGTCTATGCACTAAAATGTCTGCTATAAAAGGTCTGAAATGTGGCCAACTTCATTTTCATTAAATGTCAGCTCCTATCTTCAAGGATATTTCCTTCTTAACCAAAGTAACTCAGGCTACTTTCAAACAACTTGTCAGGGTTTGTTTCATCTGCTGAACAGCACAGCTTGCCAGACACTGCGATGACAGCGCACCCTTGCATGTCAGCTATAGTAATTAATAAATGTCACTGCTGAACTTTCCGACCATCAAGCCCGTTCCCCCCTAATCACATGAGCCTAAATAAAAAAAAACCTTTCTTTGGAGGGCAAAATGCCGGTGTGAAACTTTAGTTTATGTGTGAAAGATATTTTACGGAATACTAAATTAACGGCGTATATCAGCAACGATGCTGGTAGAGACATTTTTGTTCGTGAAACAGTGTCTCAATGCTCACGTAGAGCACATAAAGTGGCAATCACTTATCATATTCTTGTGTTCATTATCTGCGTACTCATTAACGTGGCATCATTTTTTCTTCAACGAGAAAACAGGTGCGCCGAAAATATGCCCAGAGATATTGTATTATCCCTTTATGGTACTATGAGGAAAGCGGCAGCCACTCCGGTAGAGGCGAAGCTCTTTATTGGGCCAACTTTTACCAACAGAACTAGGTAGTTGAATGTACAAGCAAATCACGCTGTACCCTTAAAACGTTAAGAAGTGTCTCTAGCTTTCGGTTATCTGATCATTGGCAGAACGAGACTTCTTTTAACTTCTTTTACACATCAGTGTGCGCATCTTTTGGCGTTATAGCTGGTGCTTGTAATAAGAGAGATATACCAGCCTTCTGCGCGTAATCCTAATACTACCTGTTTAGCTTTTCACGCTTGTAAACAACGATATGTTCACGGCAAAAGCAGCAGCGATGTACTATGAAAAAGTGTTCATATGGTGTTCTTTAACGAGGAACGTACATGCACCCCTAGCATTTCGCCTCCAATGAAGTTCTGCTGCCGCGACGGAGCTAGCATGTAATCTTAACGGAACAATCAGAGACAACATTTACCATTATAGAAGACTGCTTGCGCCTAGGGCAGATTGCAGTTTTTTCTCGTTGAAAGCCTCTCCGAACAAAATATAAAAATAAAAACACGTGTTAGTATAGTCGCACAAACTCTCGCAGAACAACGTCGCTATTCACATTAATGCCACCTAAATATTTAATTACATGACCCTTAAGTATTAAAATTATAGAATAGAGAGCCTTAACAAATGATAATATTAAATATAAAATAGAAAAGCCGTTCTGTATCAAATATTTAGAGTGAATACAATTAGGCGTGAAGTGCCGTCAGCCTAGAGGTCTGGGGTGCGGCCTCACTGGTGACCACCTGTTGGTAATCACTCCCTCACCAGAGCAGGATTGGCCACTTTGGTGAAGTACTTGGCCACTGCCTCTCATGAATACAGCAATTATCCTTGCCCCTTAGTCCCCAGTGGCTGCTAAAGAACTGTGCAATGCGGCGGTGAGACCTTCCACCACCGGAGGGTGCTTCGGAGGGTCCGGACAGGCCGCCAATGGAATTTTAACTTCTGCATTCTGACATGGCGTGAACGGATACGCAAGAAGCGAATTATTGAGCTAGCAGTGAGAAGGAAAATAAAGGAATTCTGACTTTCACTTCAGAATAGATTCGCAGCACTAAACAAGGTAACCCACGTTAGGGCTAACAAACTGAACGATTATCTTACTATAATCGTCAAAGAGTGTGCAATGGAAGATGTAGGTACAGTCGCTGGACAGAAAATTGGTAAAACATCTTAGGAGACTCAAAAGAAAACCAATTATGACAGTCTGAAATCCAACTAACAAAATTGAAGAAGTGGAGCCTTTGAAGTCTACCAACAGGCAGAAGGTAGCCGAGATCAAAGAATATAACATGAAGGATCGAGCAGGCTGTGAAAATCGGCAGAAGCTGAACAGCTGTGACAGCAAAGTTGTGCATTGTCTCAAATTGAGTGAATGCAATAAGACACCAGTAAGATAATGTGATAACCAATGTGCATAGGATAGTTGAGGTGGCGAAGAAGTTCTACAGAGTGCTTTACGGTAGCCGAAACAACCAGGATAATTTCGCAAGGAGCAATATTAGCCCGAAGGAATTGGACATTCTACCGGTAACTACAGGGTGAGTAAGGAAAGCGCTACGAGGATTGCAAAGAGCTAAAGCCACTGGTGAGGACAAGGTAACAACGGACCTTCTGAAAGATGGCGAAGAATTGGTGTTAGAAAAACTGGCCACCCTGTATATGAAGGGCAGGAAGGGTACCACAATCGTGGAAGAACGGCAACATAATGTTAACTCGTAAGAAAAGAGACGTTAAGGACCTTTAAATTATATGCCGATCAACTTATTGTTCGTTCTCTACAAACAATTTACATATATATCAGCTATTAAAATTAGGGCTATATTAGAGTTCAATCAAACAAAGGACAAAGCAAGATTTCGTACATGCTACTCCACAGTAGACCATATTGATACTACCATTCAGGTGATAGAAATGCACAAAATTAAACCAATCCCTATAAAAAGCCTTCACAGATTACCAGAAGGCATTTGAGTCGGTCGAGACATCAGCAAGCAGTGATGCAGGCACTGTGGAACCGGCGCATGGACAAACCGTATATGAACATATTGTAAGAAATCTACAGTGGACCCACAGTCCTCCTAGTTCTCTATAAAGAAAGCGACAGAAGATGTAAGGCAGGGAGACACAATCTCTGCAACGCAATTCACCGAGTGTTTACAGGAGGTTTTCAGAAGCCTGGAATGGGAAGAGTTTGGGATAAAAGTTAATGCAGAGTACCTTAGAAGCCTGCGCTTCGCCGATGACATTGCATTGCTGAGTAACTCAGGGGACAAATTGCAACTAATGATTATTGAATTAAACAAGGAGAGAAAAAAGGTAGATCTTAAAATCAATCTGCAGAAAACGAAAGTAATCTGCAAGAACCTCATAAGAGAACAGTGCCTCGAGATAGGTAATAGGGCACTTGAAGTTTATACTAGTGCACTTGAAGGCCACCAGCCCTGGTTCGGTCGCCGCCGTGCTCCAGTGTCGCTTCATGATTTACTTAATTAAGTAGCACCGATCTCTGTTTTTCGGTCTCGCAGATGGTGTTTATTTTTTGCTCACAGTGATCTACACAATCACCGGAATTTCTGCAAAACAAGCTCTTCAACGCTATCACGTTAAAACTTCGCAGGTATAACATGACAGCAGAAAACACAAGACCGAGTTTTTTGGCGGATCATAGGAGCGACATTTGCCCTGCAGTCGGTGTAGTCTGGCTGATGATGATGCCGTCAGCTTACCTACTAATTTACTCAATGAAAAATCAGTGCGCATAAAAAACTGCCTCAAATAGCTTAGTGGGACGCTCGTAAGGAAGGCGAACCACTCGGTATAAAAACAATATTTAGCAACCTCTCTAATTCTTTATGTTATATTCTGTGTATTTCCAATATTATCATGTAATCTCCATTGCATCATTTTACCACGACAAAATAAGCGGACTGTCTAGCGCAGTATGGTATACCCTGGTGCACATAATGGTATATTTTTAGGCGCGAAGCTCCTAAAGTGGCACCCATTCGTCCCTCGCAGTCGTAGTCGTAGTCGTAGTGTGTAACCAGTGTTACATTTTGACTTGCAAGGTGGTGCCGGTGGGAGATTTTTCCTGTGCTTTGTTGAACAATAAAAAGATCGCGGCGTGCGCGTTAACTAAATGACGAATCCTCCTGTCTCTCATTCCCTATTAGCAGCCATTAGCATGCACACTTAGCACTATCTGAGAAGAAAGGGTTGCTACGTTATACTCGATGGGTGTAACCTCGTTAGTTTTAGAAAGGTTTAGCGAGCGTTGAGACGCGGTGCCATGAATACAATGAACTGGTATATACTATGAACTCGAGGTGGTTAAAGGTGGGAAGTAGATACGAAGCGCAAGCCGTAAGAAAGTAAAAGCCGAATTATCCTGCCTCTCATTTCCATTTGCAGCCATTGGGCATCTAGTACATTGAGCACTACTCTGACAGGAAGGGTTGGCTACGTCTTTACTCACTGGGTGTAAACCTTTTTAGTTTAGAAGGTTTAGCGAGCGTGAGCCGTCAGTGCCATGATAACAATGACTAGATATACCATGAACTCGAGGTGGTTAAAGGGGGAGGTAGATACGAACGGCAAGCCATGAGAACGGTA